GCGCAGCTTGTGCCCTTGCGCCATCCCCAGTGCTGCTCTGGGCTTGGTTATGCCGCCAGTTTGGGGCACACGGCAAGGTCCCCCCCAAGCTGAACAAATTCCCAGTGTTTTCTCAGCGTTTCTCCTACTTGCAACCTGCTGCACTTCCTCTTTCCTTTTCCTTTTGAAGCTAACCCAGAGACAAGCTCTCCTACCACAGTAAGGACAACAGATGGTCTTCGCCTTGTGCAAATCCTCCTCCCCAAAAAACATCCTGGGTCCCAGAAACACCTTGAAGCAGAGAGGGGGAGAGAAGAAAGGAGCTACAGCCATCAGCACCCTCCCCTTCTTTACGCCCAGGACCCGCTCCCAGCCAGTGCAGCCAGTGCCATGGAGGGAGAGGCTGATAATCAACGGCATGTGTTGAACCTGGTGGCTGTGTTTGAAGAGCACTGGTAAGGAGGGAGCGTCCTGGGCGCCGCGGGTGCGTTAGGGCTCCACGTGGCATGGGTTTTGGAAGGAAGAAGCCCGCCATGGAGGTGGTTTGGAGGCCGTGAAGAAGGTGACTCGGTGATTTGCTATTCTTTAGCACTCGGATCTGCCCCGGTGTCTTCCTGCTGCTGTGGGTTATGGACAGAAGTCTGAAAACCTCAGTGGGACTGACTTTGCTGGAGGTTTCTGTGCCTGGCTTAGGGTTAGGTTGTGGCATGCTTGTTCCTTCCGCGCTCAGCACCTTTGCAATCATCCTGGCTGATGAAGACTTTTTCCCCTGCTGGTGGGGAAAAGGAGTTTGGTTTGCAAATATGTAGGCAGGGGTCTTCAGGAGGAATTAACGGATCGGAGCCTCAGGCACCAGCCTCGGACTATCCAGTTGTTTGCAGCGATGTGGCTCTTGGAAAGGGAAGAGAAAGAATTATATTAAGGGGGAGAGCGAGTTCCTTTTGGGCTGTATGGCAGCCCCATGAAACAGCGCCTTCACTTGGAGCATGAGCTGGGACCCACAAACAGCGTGTGCCAGGGTCGGAGCGAGGGGATCTGCCTTGCCCCTGGTGTAGAAGTAATTCTGAGGTTTGGGGTGAGTCATCGTTGTGGTCTGTGCCTCAGTTTCCCCATCTGTTGAATCGGGATACTGAATCTTGCCTTTCTTTATATCAGTGAGGTGCTCTCAGTGAGCCTTAATGAGGCTGAGAGGTTGGGCAGGTGAGTTTTGCAGCACTTCCTAAAGACGGTCAGGCACGAGATTTCCTTCTGCTCCGGGAACTTCACCTGCATCTCCGCTGCGTGCTTTGCCCTGGTCTTTGTGCTCTGGATGGCTCCAGAACAGCGTGCTCGTCCCCATGGTCCCACAGTTGAAATTTGGCCTGTGATGTTTTTTGTGTTGGAACCGTTTGCAGCGTTTGATCTGCCTCCATTTCATTGCTGCAGTGTCTTTGTTGTTTATCATGAAGCGTGAGTTTGATTTAGAGGAAATAAAAGTAACTTACAACTTTCAGAGGAAGCTGGGGAGCCTGGAAACGGGTTTTCTGGAACAGAAAACGCTTTATCCCAGGTCAGTGCAAATAGAAAGGGAGAAGTTCCTTGTCAGATCTCAGCAGTGGGTTTAGGCTGGCACAGGTCTGGGAGGCACCGGGAGGGACAGATAAAGCCTCTCTGTCACGTGAAGAGTTATGCCAGCCCCCATGGACAGGAGGGGATGCGTGCATGGCTGTGGATCAAGACAGACATGTGCTTATCAGCACGTTATCCTCTTCAGATGAGTGTCTGCCACTCAAGTCATCTCCTATCCTCAACTTTGCAGTTTTATATCCAGTTTCATCCCGGTTTTCCCCTCCTCCTCATCCCACTCCTGTCCGCAGGCCACCAGTGGATGTCTTTCCGGTTTCTGCCCAGAGCAATTTACCACAGGGACCAGCTCTCAGATGACAGACAGCTCGCTCGCTGTCATCTTCATGGCCTGTGCCCTTTGTGGCTTCTCCCCCGTGCCTGCTCTGGACCCGTTTTCCTTGTCTTTGCCAGAAAAGGGAAGAGGGAAAACCACCAAAAAACTACCCTTCTGCAAAACCACCTACACAAGCCCTCTTCTTGGCTGGCACTTCTTGGCTATTTGGCTTTTAAAGCCTCGTGCTTTGGCTCCGCAGTGGCAGCAGGCAGAAAGCCAGAGCTGTGCCAGCACCGCAAAGGGCAGGGCTATGCTTTGGGAAATAAATGGCTGTGGGTAGGATAAACGGCAGAGTCTTGCTTTTCTAGAGCAGGACAGGGACTGACCATATCAGCAGGAGGCACTGGGAGAAGAGAGGCTGGATCCTGGCCCCCTTGGAGCACGTTTGGGCTTTCAGACCCTGGTTTGTATCAGCAGGGTTGTAGCGGAGCAAAGCGGCATCAGCGCTGGGGTGCTGCTGTGTCTTACCGCCTTCACTCAAGGACGGTGGCTTTAACCTGGGCCTGGGAGCTGGGTGGGCCGCGCTGTGCTGGGGGAACGGGTGAGCTGATCGCGCTGATTCCTCCATGGCAGGGCCAGCAAATTTGCCTGGAGGGACAAGCAGGCTCCGCACAGCCAGACTACTCCTGCAACCAGCCAGCCCCAGCAGCTTCCAGCGTCCCCTGGCAGCCAAAGCCTCTCCCAGATGGCTGCCAGGCACCAAGCGGAGCAAGAGAATGAGGAGGAGGAAGAGAAGGAACAGCAGGGTCAGCGGGGGCTCAGCTTCAAATGCCTCCGTTCTTTCCGACACAAGATCATTGAGGACAACTGGAGGAGGCAGCAGGACCCGGGCCTGGAGCCTGGCAGCAAGGTAAGCTCTGGAGGTGGTTCAGGCGAGGGTGGCAGGTGCCCACGCTCAGGCAAGGAGATGCGTGGGCTGGATCGGAGCTGACGTCTCTGCTGGACCTGAGCAAGTCCCTGCCCTGCAACGGCCGGTGCCTGGGGTGACAGAGAAGTGGCACCTTCCCTGATGCTTCGGGCACAAATTCCCCGTAGTCGGATAGATCCAAGCAGACCTTGTCTCTTCCAGCTCTGATATAACGATGCCCTGGGGGTCAGATGCACATGTGGGCCCAGCCAGGTCCATCCCAGGGCATCCCCGGGGCTGTCCTGCCCTTTGCCCACTGCAGAGGCATTTCTGCAGGACTGCGTTCAGAGGCCCTGGTGCAATTGCAGACCATGGAATTAATCCACCCCACCCTGCCCCGCTTCTCAGGATTGCTAGCCCTGTCTTGCTTCGGGAGAAACAGGCACAGAGAAAGGGTTGACCTAGGAGGATGTGAGCCAGACTTCCCGACAACCCCCAAAAATGCTTTGTTTTCACCCTTGTTTTTACCACATACTTTTTTGAGGTCCTTCCTTTGCCCTCACCTGGAGCGAGGTCCAGTTTGATGTGGGCTGTGAACACTGGGGAACAGAGCTGCGTCCCCTTGGGCTGGTGGGGAAAGCTTGTGTTGCAGCCCATGAGATTGAGTCCTTCTCCCCATATAGGAACCAGAGGAAAAGAAAATCGCCCTGGAGCTGCTGGAGACAGAGCAGGCTTACGTCAACCGCCTCCACCTTCTCGACCAGGTGAGCTGGGGAGCAGAGGGGTCCACGCAAGTCTGGGAAGCGATAGCCCTGCTGCCGTCTACCCTCACCAGCACAGCTCGGCACCCCATACTGACAAACCAGGCAGGACCATGGTGCAGCTCCACACTCACTAATTTTCCTGTGATCCTGGGCCTGGACTTGGACCCTGCGGCAGTGCCTGGGCTCAGTTCAGGGTATGCACGGGCCAGGGACTGTTTCCTGGAGGTTTTGGAGAGAATGAAGCTGTACAGATGAGAGCCACACTGGGCTGCTGGTCTTCATGGCCAGACAACAGGTCTGGCCTTTGCCTTTCCTACACCCCACACCTCCAAGGAGTACCTTTGTCCCAGCAAAGCCCCTGCTTCTCTCTTGGGGCCTGGGATTCCCCTCCTGCACAGAGTCAGACATTTTCACTGTGCGACGTGCCAGTCTCAGGGAGGGAATAGGGTCCTCAAGCCTCTTCCTGACCCTTTTTATTCACCCCTTCTTTCTTCCAGATATTCTATACAGAGTTGATGAAAGAAGCCAAAAACGGGAAGACGGTCCCGGAGGAGGTGGTGAAAATGATCTTCTCTAACATCTCTTCCATCTATCAGTTCCACGCCAAGTTCTTCCTGCCAGAGCTGCAGAAGCGCATGGAGGATTGGTGAGCTGCAGGAGGGGAGGGCAGGATGCCTGGGTTGCTTTGCCAGAATGAGGGAGTGGTGGTGAATTTGGTCTCCCAACAGGACCAGGGAGCTCAGCCTGTTTTGCTCCAAATGTCTTTGTGCTGGAAAGCACTTCCTTAAAACACTCCAGCCCACATCAGGGTATTTCTGAAAAGGGGGGTGGTTTAGGGGTGTGCCCAGGCATGAATGGCCCAGGATGGCTGTAAGCTGGGGACATTTCCATTCTGGAGAGTGGAAAGTTGTATGGGGATGTAGCAGGTCGCAGTGGTAAAAACCTCTGTCCTCCGCCGTGCACAAGCCGCTCCTTCGCTTTATCCCTCGCTGTCTGTCTGCCCCGCTGAACTGAGGAAGCTGCCAGTCTGCGGTTCCCTCCCACAGGAGCTGCAACCCGCGGATCGGGGATGTGATCCAGAAGCTTGCACCATTCCTCAAGATGTATGGCGAATATGTAAAGAACTTCGACAAGGCCGTGGAGCTCATCACTGTCTGGTCGGAGAAATCCCTGCCCTTCCAGGAGCTAATTGCTGACATCCAGGTAATGAGCCAGAGCAGGGTGGGGGACCGCAGCAATGCTCCCCAAATCTCCCTGCAAGGGAGAAGCAGCAGAGGGTGGGAGCTGCCTTGGTCACTGTTTCTCTCTGTGCGCGGTGTCTTTCCCCAGAAGAGGAAGGTCTGCGCTAACCTAACACTGCAGCACCACATGCTGGAACCTGTGCAGAGGATCCCACGCTACGAACTCCTCCTGAAAGATTATGTCCGAAAACTACCGCCTGAGTCCCCAGACCGGGATGATGCAGAGAGTAAGGGCTCTGTCTGGCTCTCCCCGCTGTGGGGAGTGGCAGGGTGGGTTTGTAGGGGAAATAACAACCCCTAATGTTGTACACGGGCATCCAGGAGAATCCAGGATACCTGGATTCTCTCACCAGCTGCCCTGTGCCCTTGGATAAACCTCTCAGTCTGACCCTTTTCTAGCTGGGAGGGGGATTAATCTGCCCTTTCAGAGTCTATGGAGGTCAGCAGGGAAGGTGGGTGGTGTTTCAGGATAAGGATAGTCCCTCTAGAGCATCCCCCAGGGAGACCTGCAGTGACCTGGGGAGCTATCAGATCCCTATGGATCACAGCAGCTCTCAGTCCTGCTGGAATGAGGTGATAAACGAGCCGGCTGTCTGTCCCCCCAGGACCCGACTACGGCACACGCACAGTCTGGCCGGACCCAGACGATTGCACAGCGTTCAGGGCCATTCAGGTTGTGTCCAGGGGAGGGCAGCAGCCACCACACGCGTGGCTACCCCATGAGGGAGAGACTGAGGGGTTTTCTCCCACAGCTCCCTAGCACGTGTGTAACACTCCTCCCTTTCTCTTCTCGTTGCAGAGGCCCTGGAGATGATTTTTATGGTGGCCAAGCACTCAAACGCAGCTATCGCCGAGATGGTGAGTGCCTGCCCAGCTGGCAGTGCTTTGCAGCTCATGGCGTGGTGATTTGCCAGATTTCCTCATGGCCTCATTGCTGTGCCACTCAGTGCAGCACAGCCCTGCCCTGAACGGGACAGGAGCACTGTGGGTTGAGCAGAGAAGGTTAGATCCTGCTCTTGATGCCTGTTCCCATCGCCCCAAGCCTGGGGAAGTCACGTCTGCAACATCAGCCATGATGTGACCGGTTGTTTTGAGGCTGGGAGCTACTCTTGAAGATGAGTCTGGGGTGAGAGAGCTGTGCCACCTCTCCTGGTAGTCAGCAGCTGGCATGGGAGATGGGGATGGAGGGGACCCAGGGGTGACAAGGTTGTGGCTGCTCAGCTCCCCACAGAAACAGGTCCCTCTGCCTCCCCCAGGAACGACTGCAGAACCTCTGGGCAGTCTATCAGCGGCTGGGCCTCGAGGACGACATTGTGGATCCCTCCAACGAGCTGATCAAGGAGGGGCCAATCCAAAAAATCTCCACCCGCAACAACAGCACATCGGAGAAGTACCTGTTCCTGGTGGGAGCTGGGATACCCAGGGGAAGGGGCAGGGAGCAGATAGGATAGGAATGAGGAGAGGGACAGCACAGCCTGGACAGGGTGTTGCTGGGTCATCTCCACACAGAGGGGATGAATTCAGAGCTGGGGGGTTTGAGCTCCTCGGTGCAGGGCACCCTGTATAGGATGTGCTTGGGAACTTACTCATCTGCTGGGCATGGCAGCCCTTGGGGGATGTCACGCTCCAAGAGTGCTTTGCCTCTGCAGGATGGGAGAGGGCTGAGGCAGAAGCAGTCATTTTTTAGGTGGATTCTTCCCAAGGGATTCAGCCCCAGGGGGGTGAAGGACCCTAGATCCCAGGGAAGCCCCCAGCTCTGAGCAGGCAGGTGCTGGGCTCCAACCAACCCTCTCCTCCTCCCCCCTGCCCAGTTCAACAACATGCTGCTGTACTGCGTGCCCAAGGTCATCCAGGTGGGCGCCGAGTTCCAGGTCCACCTCCGCATCAACGTGGATGGCATGAAGGTCAGACAGGCACCTTGTCTTTGTGCTTCCCCCAGACCCTGGGTCCCCTAAAATGCACCCCGCTCTGGGGTGTAATGTGGCTGCTGCCCCGCGCTTCCTCAGAAAGGAGGGAGGAGCTGGAGCCAGGGGTGGCTTTGTGGGTGAGGAGGAATGGTTGATACGCTCTGATCCTGTGAGATTGCAGTGCAACCTCGTGCACATAGGATTTGAGGGGCCGAAGGGCTTGTGCCCGAGAGAAATCCCTGTCCCCCACATCAGGGAGGAAGGTCCCTGTGTGCTGGATGTGGATTCACTGCTCCACATCCTTTCTTTGGTCTCTCTCAGGTGCGGGAGCTGAACGACACGCAGTTCCCTCACACCTTCCTGGTCTCGGGAAAGCAGCGGACGCTGGAGCTGCAAGCTAGGTAAGGGGAAGGGCGACAGTCCTGCAGACCCTCTCGAGGAGGAGGGACGCCAGCTCATTCATCTCCTGTTTTGTACCAGGTCTGAGGAGGAGATGAACGCCTGGATCAAGGTACCACTGAGTGCTGGGAGAGGCGGCACATCTCACTCACCCCAGCTTGGATGCCTGGGCCCCAAACCGGGCTGATCCCCCGCTGCCTGTGTCAGGGGCAGCCCCCCCGACTGCCCCTCCGGCCCTGCCTTCCCCTCTAGGCCTTCCAAGATGCCATTGACAGGAAGGAGAAGAGAAGTGAGACCTTTACGACAGCAGTGCATGGGCTGGAGACAGGCACCCCTGCATTGAAGGTAACCCTCCTGCCCTTCCCATGCCTTGCCTGCCTGCACAGAAGCTCAGGGAGAGCCCACCTTGCTGTGCCTCAGTTTCCCTAGCTAAACAGAGCTGGTGGGGGGAAGGCTGCAGACAGTGGGAAGGGCTGTGGAGGAGAAAGGTGAGAGCAGAGGGGCTGGGACCACCTGGACCATGGCTAGCCAGCCCCAGCTATGCTGTCTCCCACCCCCAGCCAGAAGAGCTGGACCCCCAGACAGAAGAGCTGGGCCGCCGAGCCCCGCAGTGGGTGCGGGACAACCTAGTGACCATGTGCATGCGCTGCAAGGAGCCCTTCAACGCCATCATGCGCCGGAGACACCACTGTCGAGCTTGTGGATACGTGAGTCACCCCATCCCCCCTCTTTTCCCTCCCTCCTGGCCTGCTCAGGTGGCCGCTGGCATCTCCTACACCTTGTGCCGCTTTCCCCGAGCTCAGGGCTGCTCCTGCCCCTCAGCTCCTCATGGAGTTGTCCCTGGGATCCCCCAGCCCTGCCCCAGTCTCACCAGTGTCCCTGTCTGGTGGTTGTAGGTGGTGTGCGCTCGCTGCTCTGACTACAAGGCCGAGCTGCAGTATGATGGGAACCGCCTGAACCGCGTGTGCCAGCAGTGTTACGTCTTCCTGACGGGCCACGTGGTGCTCGAGGACCGGGAGGGGAAGCACAAAGGCATCCTGGAGGTGAGCTCTGCCCGTCCTCCCCGTGCCCTGCTCCTCTGTCCCTCTTCCTCTGAGCTCTGCCACCCACCCTGGTCCCCAGTCTCACTGTCACAGCCCTGCACCTGCAGCAGGAGGGGTGGGAGTCACTCCCGCAGCAGTCAGAAGGTGCCTGCTAATTGCGAGGCTGGTGGATGTGCTAAGCCCCCTCCCTCCCACGCTGTGAGCCTTGGGACCAGGCAGCCAGGGCTCTCTCTGCCGCGGGATCTCAGCAGGACCCTCGCAGCCAGGACCGCCCCTCATCTGCCCCTGGTTTGGGGACGGTTTTGTGGAGCAGGCAGGGAATTCCCCAGGAAATGACCTTTGCTCAGTGCCCTTTCTGCCTCCCGCACAGGGTATTTAGGGATTTGTTTGCTGGGTTTTTTGGCAGAAAGGAGCCGCAGAGGTATCAGGCAGGAGTTTGCTGTGCAGTTCCCTGCAGCTGCTGGACAAGAACGGCAAGGGGGGCACGCGGGGCTGGTTCGTGATCCCGCGGGATGATCCCCTCGTGCTGTACATCTACGCGGCCCCCCAGGTAAGGCCGGGCTTGGCTCCATCTGCAAGGGACAGCCCAGTGTGCCCGTCCCCTGCCTCCCACCGCTGTCTCCACTCTTG